AAGTGTCAACATGCACTTCCCTGAGTGCTGAGATGTTTGAGCACATTAATCAAACCAAAGATGGAGGGAGGGTGAGAAGGTCAATGTATTGCTGGCCTATCAGAAACAGGTAAAGCTGCCTGGGGCTTGTGACTGGCATTTGAAGCTGGGGACTGAGACCACAGCTGGGGTGTAACAGAGATCATGTCAAAACTGAATTGAATAAGGGACACCCAGCTTATGCCTGCTGAAGAACTGACTGCTTGCCCCAGTGGAGAGCAGTCCTCACACATGTTCCATGTTGTGCAAGTATAGTGGGAGAAATTCAAGTTTGCATTTCCTCTCTCCTCAGAACACCTCACCTATGAGAGGGGGTTCAACGACTGATGCCTACTGAACACAGACACTGCCTGCTGTCCTAACTCCACTAAGTTCCCAGAACACCATCCAGGCTGTTACTTCCCGAAGGAGCTCAGAAGTCCCTTCCTGAGGAGGAAGGAAGATGCAGACCTGGGGGTGTACAATCTGAGCCCACTGAGATGACCATTCAAGCTCAACTAAAAGCCCAGAGTCTATGTCAGCACTTTAAACTCCCACACTTGGGCCAGCACCACAGCCTAAGACCTAACCTTGCATGTGCCATGATCCCATATGGGCGCCGGTTCTAATCCCAGCAGCTCCACTTCCCATTCAGCTCCCTGCTTGTGGCCTGGGAAAGCAGTCGAGCACAGTTCAAAGTCTTGGGACACTTCACCTGCTTGGGAGACCCAGAAGAAGCTCTTGGCTTCAGATCAGCTCAGCTCCAGCCACTGTGGCCACCTGGGGAGTGATTCACCAAAAGAACAGAAGATCTTCCTCTCTGTCTCTCTTCCTCTCTGTATATCTGACTTTCCAATAAAAATAAAATAAACCTTAAAAAAGAAAAACAAACAAATGAAACTCCCACACTTAGTTGTGCGTAGACAATCAAGGGTTTTATTTAGGCATCTGAGGTCAGCTCTAAATACATTAGCAGTTTGGAAAGCTTCTTTCCTCCTTGTATGATCCAGTCCCCCATATTGTTTTTCTGCTTATCTGTTTTAGTCTCATATTAATATCCTTAGAGCAGTAAGAACATAAATTGGGGCGTTTAGCCTCCTGGCAGGGCACTCACATCCTGCAGCAGTCTGCTTGGGTTCAATACCTGGATCCAGCTCCTGACTCCAGCTCCCTGTTCATGCAGACCCTGGGACAGTGTGCGGATGCCTCAAGTCATCAAGTTCCTGGACTGAGTTCCAGTCTTCCAGCTTCTGGTCTGGTCCAGCTTTGGGAACCTGCACCCGCGTGGGAGACCCAGAAGAGTCTCCTGGCTTCGGATAGGCATAGCATTGGCTGTTGCGCTCACTTGGGGAGTGAATCATCAGATGGAAGATTTTCCTCTCTGTCTCTCCTCCTCTCTGTATATCCGCCTTTCCAATAAAAAAATAATAAAAATTTAAAAATCTAAAAAAAAAAAACCAGGATTTAGAAATACTACACAGTGCAATGATTAGAAAGACTGCTTACTAAAAAAATCGCATTGATACGTAGCTGGAAGCCAACGCCTATAGCAGCAACATCCCTGAGCCCCAGCTGCTCCACTTCCAACCCAACTGAGACAGTAGCAGACAGTCCAAGTATGTGGGCCTCTGCACCCCATAGGAAAGACCTCAATGAAACTGCTGGCTCTGGCCTGGCCCAGCCCTGGCCATTGCAATCATCTGTGGAGTGAACCAGCAGATGGAAAATCGCACTATCTCTTCCTGCCTCTGTAACTCTGACAAGGAGAAGAAGGAAAGGGAGATTTTTAAAATACAAACAAAAGAATTGGTTTTCGATGGAAAATGTGGAGCCCAGTGCCACCAAACTCAAGCCCACCCAGATTCCTTCTCTCACAACACAGGACAAAATACTGTTACAGATAAGATAGCCACAGAAAATAAGGCTCATTCAGGCCATCTGGTACAGGTCAGTCCCTCTCCAGGCATTTGTAACAGAAAGGAAGACTGAATCACATCATCACTACAGGTGCCAGGGTGGACACACCCAACATGAGGCTGTGTGCCTGTGAGTTCATTGGCCAAGGCCAACAGAAAGACAACACTGCCAACACTCCCACAGAGCCATTCAGCACATTCACATTTCCTCATCTCATCCTTTTCAGGGACAGCTGTATTTTATTATGTATAATCCAAACCCAGCATCACTTAAACATTCATGACATCAGGGCAGGAACTTATACAATACTGAAAGGTTGACATTAATATAATTTCCCCTCTGCTATCAGGAAAAACAGGTTGAGCAAATCACATAAACATTGTTAAGGTCAAGATCAGCCTTGACCCCAATATTATTCTTATTTTTTCTATTGTTTTGAAAGATTTAGATGGATTTCCCTGTACACCAAGCTATAGTTGTTCTGATTCTCAGTGTCCTGACAAAATGTACCTAAAAACACATAATTTCTTGCCTTGCTATATGACATAAAAGCAATGGTTTAGTATAAGGTATGTACTCAATGCCTGGTTAACAGTTCTGTTATTTTTATTATTCTTTTTAAAATTTTAACATCAGTAGCCATTGACTATAACATGGGTATCCTAGGATGAGCGATGAGATAGGAGGGAAACACGTTCTTTAAGACAGTTTTCAACTCTCCTCTTCCTTTTCCCAGTATCTGAGTGATACTATCAGAAGTCTTGGTGTAGGAAACCATGAATCTAAACAGTTGCATCATTAGCGTTAGCAATGAAAATGATCCAGTCATTTTCGTTCATAACCCACACTTATTCATGATTCTTATTTTGAATTATTACATTATCTTTTGGTATATTCATAAGAAGGCATTTTAATAAAAAAAAAAACTAAACCAGTTTACCAATTTCATGCTGTAGTATGTTATAAAGGAGGAAAGCCTCATGCAAAGAATTACAACCATTAAATACATATGGTACAAAAGGGAGAGTATCTGAACTTTTGTATATTAAACACAAACAAGTCAACACATTCTATCTAAATACCTCACTGATAACCACTACTGAAACCAAAGTTGAGTTATTCAGTGTGACAGAGAAATTTTAACTCTTCAGAACTCGTATTTATTATGAATTGATTTCAAGGAATGAGGTGAACTATGATACTACTGGAATCAGGCACTCAGTCGTAAAACATCTCACCCCAGAAGTTCCACAATGGATACCTAAGTATTCAGTCAAATGCTAACAGCACAGAATCTGCTGAGAAGGAATCTAACACAGCCATAAGTGAACAACAACAACAAAACTCTGTGCCCTTTAATAAAGTCTTGTTAATGAGGTGAGAACTTAATTCTCCAGAAGAAAAGCCAGACTGGTTCAGGGCCTCTGCAGTGTGTATTCCTGGCTAGAACTTGACAGACAACAACAGATTCACAACTCAAGCCAGAAGCCATGGGCACACCCTTCTAAAAAAAAAAAAAAAAAAAAAAAAGACGTAGCTACCAGTCCCAATAAATAGCAAGTAAATTTAAATTCTAAAATATTATCAGTCTCTAGTAACTACCAGTGGACTCCACCAACCAGGACCCCATGCCTACCTGGATCCCCTCTGTCTCCAGACACCTGCTCTACCCACGCTTACATCTCTCCCCAGACACAGCAACTTCATGCATTCACCATTGTGTGTTTCATTTCCGTTAAAATACTAATGTGTTTGGAAAAACACAGAGGAAAGGAAAAAAATTAAAAAGCAAGTTAACACGGGGAAGGCGATACTACTTTTTGCCCGACACATTTAATCAAATAAAATCCATGGAGACTGTCAAGTATTTAACACACACTAACTTTTGTAAATAGATATTGTAGATACATGCACATATAGACATTTCTAACTTCTCTGGCTGTTTCAGGCAAATGCCTGACTTTGGAGACAAACTTATGCAAAACTAACCTACTTCATCACCTCCCGCTTGCTATGCACCATAACGACATTACTGTGAGAAATGGGATTTTTGCTTAATACACACTAGGTGAAAACATCTTTCACAAAGAGCATGAGTAACAGATTGGGAATGGCAAGCAGCAATATAATAAAAGAAGAACCAAAGAGATAGGAATTCTCATTCAATGGGAAGACATAAGCATGGAAGTCATTAGTATTATTATCTAAAAACTAACTCATAAAAAGAAACACAGCTTGGAATTTTAACAATAGATAAAAACACTCTAGGAAGTGACACTTCACATATAAAATGACAGGGTAAAGGAGTAAGGAAAAGGCAGCTTTCACATGCACCTGAAAATGTGCCCCACACACTTGTTGCCAACACATCAGTTGTGCCTGGATTGATCATACCTGAACACAATGTTCTGCCGTGCTGCATGTTAACAGAGAATGCAAAACAAAAAGAGGGAAGCGTTAGCAGATGAAAGTACAAAACTACTGTGTGGAGAGGTATAAAAACGAATTCATAAGCTCTTACTTGTAGTACTTAGCATACAACAGTAACTTACCATTGTTTTCCATTTCTTTAAACATGCTTTAAAAAAACTATTTTGAACTCAATTATCACAATTCTTCATTATGACTGGATTACTCCGAAGAAAAAGTTTGTTAGTTAAAATATTTTGCTCTTTTCAGATTTCAGAGCAAGTTATAAGGTCCTATTACAAGAGAAGCTCCTTTTAATATCACTTAATTCCCTCAAAAGAGCAACACCAAGAACAAGATAGCAAGAACATGCCTTGTACACTATATCTATTTGATACAAATTTAACAATAAAGGTTTTAGTTTTTATCTAGCATATGTACGTAAACATTTGCATAAAAATGATCTTTACCAAAGTGAAGCACTACCTCTAATCTAGAAGAATAAAATCAAACTTGTAACATTAGTTGCGAATTAGTCACTTGGACAATGGGAAGCTAAGCTGTTCACAGCTCTTCCTTCTGAAAGCAAATGCATCCATGCAGAAACATTCCCAACACAGCTTGAGCATCCCTTATCCCAAATGCTTGGGACCAGAAGTGCTGCTGATCTTAACATCTTTACTTCTGGAAATCTTTGCATAGATTTTTACCAGTTAAACATCCTGGCTTGGAAAATCCCACATCCAGATTGCTCTAAAACTCCAAACATTCTAGGCACTACATCCTCACCCATCTGAAATGCTTCATCTGTATTCAAAAACACAGTTAATGGTGCTCAGCAGCATGGCCCGCATGGCACGACCACGTGGCACGACCCACGTGGCACGACCCGTGTGGCACTCACTTCTCTTTTGGGACACAGCCTGCAGGCAAGCAGTCACAACGTCACAGTCCCGCTGCACCTTGTGTAGAAGCCTGTCTCTCTGCTTCAGCTGCCGAAGCAACCTGGCCGACTGCTCCCCGACTCTGTGCTTGAGCTCTTGGAGGATTATCTTCAGCTCATTAGTGTCTGTCAGCGAAAAAAAATCAAAAAGAGACAGTAAGTACCTTGAAAGGAGACAAGGGCATGTCAAGAAATTTAGAGAACATATTTTGAAATCCATGCCAAGTTTTTGCACGATACATGTTTCCATGAACTTTCTGAAGAGCCCTATACACATGAGTTTTCAAACCTTTTATACAAAAAAAAAAAATCATCTTCGTAAAATAATTTTATATATTGAAAAAGAGAAAATTCCCATCTGCTATTTCGGTTTTTCAATGCCCACAAGAGCTAAAGTCAGGATTTGGAAACTCAGTTCAAGCCCCACCTATTTGTGGCAGGGGTTCACCAACTTGAGCCCTCATCACTTGCTCCTTTCAGAGTGCATATTAGCAAGAAGGTGTAATCTAGAGCAGAAACAGGACTCAAGTGCAGCCACTCTGAAACTGGACACAGGAACCTCAAGCAGCATCTAACCATGACACCAAATATCCTAAATAAACGCATTTGCAATTCCATTCATCATCCATATTTTGGGGTATCTTTGTACAAATTCCAAAGTAATAGCTTAAAAAAAAAATAGAACATCCAACCAATTTATGTATTTGAAGTAACTCATTCTAGGTTCCCACTAAATTGCATCTAGCTTTTCAACAAAGGCATTCTTTCTTGTAAATATTTTATTTATTTGAAAGAAAGAGAAGAAAGAAACCTCTTTTATTTGCTGGTGTATTCCCCATATGGTTACAGCAGTCAGATCTAAGTGAGGCATTCCAACCTGCTCTCTCACCCGGCCAGCAGGGGTCCAAGTACACGGGCTGTCTTCCTTTGCCCTCCCCGGTATGTTGATATGGGATGCCAGCCTCACAACTAGGGCAGCTTTATTGGCTGCGCCCAACACCTGTGCCTCAGCTGAACACTCCAATCAAATAAAGCATTTATCCACCTCCTGCCCCAGTGATGAGAAAAAAACTGTGAAAAATGTTTTTAATTTTTTGAAGCTGCATGTAAGATGTGAGCAAAGACTCTTACTTTGACCATATCTGTATCTGATTGCAAATTTACCTTTCATTGCCTGAAAAGTGGCGTATATATTTTGTAAAAAAGTGCTCAGAAGGTGCACTTTCAGGAAGAGAATCTTTCTTGAGTCTGTTTCATTAATAATAAACCTGATATTTAATAACAAATGCTTTTAAGGCACTTACCCTTAACAACATTCATCTAAAAGTAAATATGCTTACCACATTCTGTGTCAGAGATGAACACAGCAATACGGGTTGGTTTTGTTTTAAATATATTGCCTTTCAGGCATCTGTGAGGCACAATATTTCATCTTAACATTCTTGCTAACTTTTTAACACAGCAAAAATTTTATTTCCTTTAAACACCTAAGTTAGGGTAATTCTACATTTATGGAATTAATATTCATGGCAGAATATTCCATTTCACTTTCTCTGAAAGTGAAAAAACTTGGGAATCAGACTATAAACCACCAGAACATGAAGAGTGATTTGGGAGTTCTCCTTATACCATTCGCCCTGAGAGTGTGTACGTGGTACCATTGACCCTGAGAGTGTGTCTGGCGGGCAAGCGGAGCCTTCTGCTCAGCTTGGTGTTGGTTTGCCCCTCCCTGCAGGGAACATCAGAGAGTAATGTCCCGATGGTCAAAGGAGTGCAGTTTTGGAGTAACAGAGATGAGTAGGAAATGTCAGAGCAGCAGTCGTACGTGACCACACCATGGAAAACACACTTGACTTTGAATTCAAAGGAATTTCTTTGAAGTCCGTCAACTGCCTTGATGTTCTTAGGCACAGCAGTGCTCCAAGTCTCAAGGTGTGCTCAGCATACAAGATTATGCTCAGAAATAAATGTGCACGTTAGTATCAACAGTACTTAAAGGAAAAATAAGGAATCATCCAGAAGAGAGGGCCGGCATTTCCTCTACCCTGAAGTTCAAACCTGGGGGATTCCCAAGGGGAACAGGCACACATGGAGGTTTAATGAAAATGTCTGGGTCCCAAGGATGGTCAACTATGACACAAGCTACAAGAGGAGACCTGAGGTTCATTGTCCCCAGGCTCCTTCAGGGAGAACAAATGTTTCACTGAATGTCCAAGTGATTTCCCTTCCAGAAATAATTGGGTAGCAATACCATTAAAACTGGCCTAAAACTTATGCTTTGTGCCACAAGAGGGTTATTATGTTATCGTACATTATCGACTCGATAACTCCCTGACTCATAGGCATTGCTTAATATGGGAGAACATTTCGGAGTTGAGTGAGGAAAAGTGTTCTACATCAGTGTCAGGGGTATGATAGGCCTCGTGGGAGACAGAAACAGGCCCCCTTTGGCTTTCTATGCCCAGTGGAAGCAGCCCTTGCCCCTGTCCCAGTGTCTGACACCTGAAGGAGACTGAGAGCCTGTGACCAATTTTCATTCTAAGGAATTCCAGGCTATATGATAAAATTCTTAAAAATAGGTAACAGGTACTGAGCACGTTGCACACATTACTATATGGAATTCCCACCATAGCTCTCTGGAGTTCAACTGCTTGCCCAAGGTCTCCTAGCTAGTGAGGAACAAGACAGGAGTGTGACCCCAAAGTGCCTCCCCTTAACCACAGATACACCAACAAAACAGTCTTCATTTTCTGAGAAGCCAGCCTCAGCTACGCAAAAAAGCTGCACATGGCAAATGGCCAGACAGGGGAGATGTGGGTGCCACAGCAAGATCCCCAACAGCAAGAGGACAGAAATGCCCTCTGCAGCAAGTCAGAGTCTTAAAGAGAGCAGAGGTGTAATGTCAGACAGCTAAGAATCAGCACGGGGCAGGCAGACAGCAGGCTCCATCATCTGATTTTTTTTTTTCAGGATTTTTTTTTTTTTTTTTTTTTTGGAAAGGCAGATTTACACAGAGAAGGAGAGACAGAAAGATTTTTCACCTGCTGGTTCACTCCCCAAGTGGCCACAACAGCGAAAGCTGAGCTGATCCAAAACCAGGAGCCAGGAGACTTTTCCAGGTCTCCCACACAGGTGTAACATCCCAAGGCCATCCTCTTCTGCTTTCCCAGGACACAGGCAGGGAGTTGGACGGGGAATGGAGCAGCCAGAATATAAACCAGCACCCCTATGGGATACTGGCAGACACAAGGTGAGGATTTAGCCACTAGGCTATTATGCTGGGTCCTATCATCTGATTCTTTGACCACAGCACTCTGATGACGTTCATCAACAGGAGTGTTGCCATGGTGTGAGAATGGGGCTATTCAAGTATGGCAGCTTGGTCATCACAACAGGGCTCACTAAAAAGGCAAGAGCAATTAGCAAACAGCTCACTGTGCACAAAGACTTGAGCTAAAGAGACTCTTCGAGGGCCTAGGAATGAGCGTTAGAGTGAATAGTCACTCAGAAAATTCCCCTGCAGAGGTGAAGGGCTCCTTAAGCATCAGCGCGCCTATTCTCCTTGCACAAAAGACAACCACTCCCCACGCCCCTCAGCACGGAAAAGTGGACTGTGCTAAAAAGAGAGTGCCACATCGGAGTTCGTCAACACTAGTTATCAAAGTCTAAAAGACCTACAGCCTCATGCAGCTTTTCACAGAAACAGTCAAACATAAAACGGAATAGTGGGCCCAGCTTCGTCCCTACATCCGAGAGGGAGACCTGGAAGCAGCCCCTGGCTGCGGGCTTCTGGGTCAGCTCTGGCTCTATGCTCAAACAAATAAATCTTAAAAAGAAGGGAAAAAAAAAAAAAAACTGCAGTCATGGTCCCGCGCAGTGGGGAGGAAGGTAGAAGTCACTTGAAACAATGGGCTGGAAAAACATTCTCACCAGGAAATCAGAGAGGAAGTGCAAAGCTGTTTATGTAGCTTTGAGAAGGCAGACGGATTTATTATTGTCCTGGAACCAGTTAGACTGATTCTACCATAAGGAGAAGAGAAAAAGTGGGGTGGCACTCGCTCTGTCCTCCCTTCATATCATTGTAGCCGAAGGACATGTCTTCATTGAAACAGTATACTGCTTTCCACAGCTGACTTCATTTTACATACGGAGCTCTTGATGCAACTGCAATAACGCCGGGAGTGCCTGAAAGGCAAGCTCTTAGGGACAGGTGAGAACCTTTCCTATTAGAGAATAGTGGACGGGACCATCAGCGTTTGATGCTTAAAGAAAAGCCAAATGAGCCTCCAAAAGCCAAGGCCATTCTCTGCTGGACCACTGCCAGCAGAAGGCCAAGGCCATGCGGCCCCCCGCGCTAAGCCGACCCCGGGACGAGACGTGAACGCTTGGGGAGAGGCTTGGAACCCGGCGTTCCGGGAGAAATGGCATTCACACGTCGGCTGTGAAACCGCATTATCGCATGATTCCGCCTCACTAGTTAAACTCTCTCCAAGAGGAGTGGCCAGCAAGGCGGACTTGGGGTGGAGGGGGTAAGTGAGTAAATAAAACAAGCTTACTCTCCCAGCGCCCTCTAGGATAGTGAAGCTCGGAACCTCCAAGCCTGTGCTAACAGCTGTGCCAGGAAGGTCCCTCAGGCCTCCTCACCTCTCCAACTCCAGAGACGAGTGGACCGGGCGGGGCGTTTAGGGACTCAGGGGGTCTTGAACCTGTGAGAATGCGTAGTGGATAAGGCCCGGTGTGCACACCTGTGCGCCGGCAGACAGCCGGAGAATCGTCCCACTCCTAGCCACCCCTTCCACAGACCTCACCTTTCTGGCGCAGGTACCGCATCTGGTGCTGCTGGCTCGGTCGCTCCTGCAGCTCCTGCAGCGCACGGGAGTCTCCGGCGCCTCCGCGGGCTCCCAGAAACACGTCGGAGCCCGAGGCCTCGGTGGAGCTGTCGAGGCTGTCGCGGCGCGGCCGGCGGGTCCCGGGTCCCGCGCCCACGCCCGCCGCCTCCTCCTCTTCGGTGCAACTGTACAGCTCCGTGAGCAGCCCGCTCACCAGGGACGCCGTGCGGCTTGTGCGGCCGCCGGGCTCGGGCTCCTCCTCGCCCTCCCACGAGTCGCCGCCGCAGCCCCGCGGCCGCTCCGCCGGTCCCTGCCGGAGTGGAGCTGCGACCGCTGCACAGGCCGGTTCCCGCTCAGCCTCCTGGAGCCTCGCGTCCCGGCCGCCGGGAAACTCGAGCTCCGCGCGCCCCGTCAGGCGGTCACCCGCGGGCAGCCACTCCATGGCCCTCGGCGCGCAACCTCCCCGCGCCGGTCAGTTCCGGGAGGAGGCGCGGCCTCGGTCCCGCCGGGGGAGTCTGAGGCGGGGCGCGACGCCAGCCGGGGCTCCGAACCTCCCGGATTCTCCACCTGGAGCCGCTGGCCACGCCGCCGCCGCTCCTACCTGGGCACACCTGCGGCCGGCTGGCCCGGACTCGGCTCCGGAGCGCCTCTCCGGTGCAGGAGCAGGACGCAGCCAGAACGCTCTGGGGATGAGGCCGCCTGGCAGGAAGGGGGTAGGGCGCTCCCGTCGCTGCCACCTTCACTGTTAAGCACGTGATTGGACCCAAAAAGAGGGCAACTGTGGTGTCCTGTTCAGCCACCGGCTAGAAACAAAGCCATTCAATTGGTCGAGACCTGGAGTCTCTGCCTACGCGGGCACAATGCCCGGCTCTTCTCGCCTTCGCACCTGGTCTGAGGTGCACTGGCTTTAGTTTCCGACCCACCGTGACCTTTCTAGCACGCTGAACACCTGGCACAGGCCTGGGATCTAATAACACTGTGTCCAGTGGACAGAGTATTGGATTCAGATTAGCTCATTCCCTGACACAACACAAAACACGCAACGGGGGTGAATTTCGCGCGTGTTCCGGAGACCGCTGAAGTTATAAACTGATGGAGCTGATTTTTATCCGAAAACCAAACGTGTTTACAAGACACCCTGAGAGACACACCTTCACACTGCGCCTCCGTAGAACTTTGAGAAATTTTTGTGGATTTAGTCAAAATAGCCAACATTTTTGTAATTCCTGTTGTTCATCAGACCTGGCGCCAGTGGCGTGAATGAGGAATGTGTTTCATACTCACTTTATAGACCAGGTAAGTACTGTATGATCTTCGCCTTTACGATGAGGGAGTTGAGGCACAGCGCGATAAAATAACGTGTTGGATCGCAGGGGGAACTTTCAAAAGTGTCTGGCATGTAGTCTAATGCGATGGCGCACTCTCCCAGGCTTCTCCTGGAGGCGGCGATACAGTGGGAAACAGTGGTGGAACTCCGTGTTTGTTTGGTGCACTTTTATGTATTCATTTATTCGTTAAAGGTTAATTTATTTGCTGGCTCGTGGCTTCACTCTGGCCCAGCCTTGACCAATGGAAGTTCTCTCTGCCTCTCCCTCGGTGTAAACTCTGGTTGTTTGTTTTTGTTTTTCTAATGATTTGAAAGGCAGAATGAAAGAGAGATTCTTCCACTTCCTATATCATTCCCCAAATGACCACCACAGCCAGATATGGTCCTGGCCAAACGCAGGAGACAGGAATGCCATCCTGGTCTCCCACATGGGTGGCAGGAGTCCAAATAGCTGGGCCATCATCCACTGCCTGCTCAGGTGCATTTGCAGAAAGCTTGATTGGAGGTGGAGTCGCTGGGACTCAAACGAGCACCCCAATGTGGGGTGTAGGTATAGACACTGGCAAGCAGTTTAACCCTCTGTGTCGCAACAGGGGCCCACCTAGTGTTTCTAAGTCACTCTCATAAAACGTGGCCCTAAAGTAAGAGCCTAGTGTTCCTTACCACCACCACAAGAAGGAGGAGTTTTTCTGAAATTGCAATTGACATAAGCAAAAGTTTTCTAATTCTTCCCTTAGGTATCCAGAATTTTTAAAGTATGCTGAAAGTATGTCTTAGAATGCCTTGAGGTTTAGTTACCTTTTAGTATTGAAACGCGTGAAATGGAAGGCGTTTAAGCATGTGTGGAGTTGCTGTGGTTTTCTCCTTTGACTTTTTGCCCCCATTATTCCTGGCATTGAATGAGTACCAAGGGCCTTTCTTCATATGCCAAACTTTGCAACAAGCAAGACTTTCTTCCCAGCAAGCTCTGAAACTGGATCCCTCTGCTTGTTAACTTCCCAGCCCTTGCTACCTCCATCCCCTAAGAAAAAAAAAATGTCACAACTTTCAGTCCTCGGAATTTTTCTCTTTATGGGTATCTCTATCAGAATTACAAAGTCCAAGTCAGCTGATGGAGATGAAGAAAGAGACCCAAAAAATCAGCATGACATTGACATTCACTATTTCTCAATTAGTCAGAACTTCAGACCAATGTCCTGTTCTCTGTCATTACCAAATCACCACAAGACAGAAAGTAGAAAGGAAGGTTTGCAGGGATGACCTCCCCAGATACCGCACACCCCTCTTCTCTCCAGGTCAAGGCTCTGCTTTAACATCCTGAGGGTCCTTCCTTGATGGCCCTGATCGGCCTGTTGGAAACTCCACCCCCACCACACACACACCTCCGGTATTCCCTTATTTTACTTTGTTGTTGTTTTTTGTTTTTGTAAGTTATTTATTTTACCTGAAAATCAGTTACAGAGAGAGTCTGAGAGAGAAAGAGATCTTTCATTTGTTGGTTCTCTCCCCAAATGGCCACAATGACCAGGGCTGGACCAGTCCAAAGCTAGGAGCCAGGAGTTTCTTCTGGATTTCCTGTGTGGGTGCAGGAGTCCAAGGCTGTGGGGCATCCTCCTGTTTTACCATGCCATAGCAAGGAGCTGAATCAGAAGTGGAGCAGCTGAGACATAAACTGGCCCTCATATGGGATGCCAGTACTACGTGTGGAGGATTAGCTTGCTTTGCCACCACCTCAGCACTCCTTGTTCTCTTTTTTCCTTAATGCTCACCATCTTCTAACAAACATAGATTTTTATTCTATTGTCTCTCTTCTGCCACAAAAAGATAAACTACTGAAAACAGAAAGTTTTGTCTGTTTTGTTTCTTGATAGACCATCCCACATGCACCTGTCCTTGAATTAAGATAGGTACTCAGTAACTATTTATTGAATTAGCTGTAAGAATATATGAAAACAAAAGGCCAAATTATCTGATTTCCTAAGAAAAATGAGTTACAGGGCCAGGACAATGGCTCATTTAGCTAATCCTCCACCTCTACACACCAGCATCCAATGAGCACCAGTTCGTGTCCTGTTTGTTCCACTTCCCATTCCAGCTCCCTGCTTGTGGCCTGGGAAAGCAGTAGAGGATGGCTCAAAGCCTCGGGACCCTGCACCCATGTGAGAGACCTAGAAGAAGTTTCAGATTAGCTCAGCTCTTGCGGTTGCAGTCATCTGGGGAGTGAAGCAGCAGATGAAAGATCCTGAACCTGCTCTCTGTAAGTATGCTTTTCCAATAAAAATAAACATTTTAAAAAGTGCACATGCAAGAGAACAGAGAGGTGGGCATTTGCCTAGTGGCTAAGACCCCTTCATCCCACATTGGAGGACCTGGCTTTAATTCCTAGCTCTGGTTCCTGATTCCAGCTTCCTAACACAGACCGTAGGAAACAGCAGCTCAAGTAATTGCACTGCTGTCAGAGATGTGGGAAACCTGGATTACATTTCCTTCTCCTGGCTCTAAGAGCACCAGCCCGGTCCCAGTCACTGCAGGCATCTGGGCAGTGAACCAACATACAGGAACTGTGTGTGTGTGTATGTGTGTATGTGTGTTTCTCTGATGCTCAGATAAATAATTTTTAAAAGAAAAAAATAGGGAGGAGGGGTCAAAGTTGTGGCATAGTGAATTGAGCCACCACCTACAATGCCAGCATCCCATATGAGTGCAGATTCAAGTCCTGCTGCTCTACCTGCAGGCTAGCTCCCTGGTAACGTGCAGTCGAAGATAGCTCAGATCCTTGGGACCCTGACACTCACCTGAGAAACCTGGATGAAGCTCCTGGCTCCTGGTTTTGGCCTAGCCTGGTTCTGCAGACATTTTAGGAGTGAATCAATGGATAGAAGATATCTATCTCTATAATGCTTGCCCTTCAAACAAATAAACGGACATTTAAAAAAAAAAAAAAGGAAATTGAGTTCCATTCACTAGGATCATTGAGTTGTTGTTGACAGAGAGCAGACCCTAAGCCACACTATACTGCAGTTGACTGGCAGGCCCAGGCCAGTTCTCTGAAGTTGTGCTGTGTGAGAACACCACTGGTCTAACAAAACATGACCATCACATAGGTCATGATAAAGAAAAATCGTGGGCCAGGCACAACGGCCTAGTGACTAAAACCTGACCTTGCATGCACCAGGATCCCATATGGGCACTGGTTAGTCTCCTGGCTACTCCACTTCCCTTCCAGCTCCCTGACTGTGGCCTGGGAAGGTAGCAGAGGATGACCCAAAGCCTTGGGATCCTGCACCTGTGTGGGAGATCTGGAGAAAGCTCCTGGCTCCTGGCTATGGAATGGCTCAGCTCTGGCTGTTGTGGCCACTTGGGGAGTGAACCAGCAGATGGAAGCTATTTCTCTGTCTCTCCTTCTCTTTGTAAATCTGCCTTTCCAATAAAAATAGGTATTTTTTAAAATGGCAAAAGTAAAATTCATTAAGATTAGTTATGCTGGGCCCGGCGCGGTGGCGCAAGTGGTTAAAGGTCCTCGCCTTGCACGCCCGGGATCCCATATGGGCGCCGGTTCTAATCCCGGCAGCCCCGCTTCCCTTCCAGCTCCCTGCCTGTGGCCTGGGAAAGCAGTCGAGGACGGCCCAAAGCTTTGGGAACCTGCACCTGCGTGGGAGACCCGCCAAGAGTCTCCTGGCTTTGACCGTTGCACTCACTTGGGGAGTGAATCATCGGACGGAAGATCTTCCTCTCTGTCTCTTCTCTCTGTATATCCGCCTTTTCCAATGAAAAAAATAATAAAAATAAATCTTAAAAAAAAAAAAAGATTAGTTATGCTATCTGTAGTAACTTGGGCCTTTACTTCTAGTACTTAAATAATAACACTAATAATTTCATACCAGATACAATTCAGATACAGGATCCAGTACTGTATAATAAGTGCTAGCAGCCAACAAGCAGACCACAATATATTAGAGCACAGTTTACATAGGTCTAGTGTACAGTCTACAGACTGATCATTTGAATTTTTCCCAAATGTGAAACAAAGTCTTGCAAATAACCTTTGTACGCCCATCATTGAAAACCACTTAACAAGCCTGTAAACACTTTGGTAATTTGATATCTTTTTAGCA